CGTCTGGGCAGCGCCAAGGCCTGGAGGGACCCTCAGACTGGTACAAGAAACAGCCAAGAGGGAACCAGCGCCCGGGTGGGGCGAGAGGGCTCCCCAGGCTCCTGGGGGGCTGGCTCTGGAAGGCGGGAGTTTCATGTCAGGCCTCGGTTAGCTGTGCTGGGAACATGCAGAAGTAGCATTTGGCCTAGAACCTTTTCATGGTTCTCACTAGGAAAATTGGTTTCTTTTTCCTCCGTGGACCTAAGAAAAGTAGACCACGATGCCTTATGCAGAGATAAAAGGGCAGAACTGCTCTCAGGCTGATAGGTGCATGAGCCCCTGAGGAATTCACACATCTCTTTTAGAAGCTCAAGACTCCATTCTAGACAGAACTGAAACACCTTCTCGCGGTTTCATTCTCACGGTGGGGGTGTTGTTTCACATATAGAACAACACTTCATAATCAGAGTCTAGTCCTTCCAAAAGTCCTTTTCAGAGTCTACAACCATTTGCCGTCCTTTTGCAGGTTAAGCGAGAGGCAGTAGAGGGTGCTGTGATTGCACACACAGAAATGATACTGCCTAAAGGACAAGGAAACTAATACTCAAGCAGCAGGTCATCACAACACGGCCGTGGTTTATCAAATCTATCAGTTTATTATCTCCCATTATGTTGGAGTCAAAGGAAGTGTAGAGATCCAACACTGCCTGTCCCTAACTGTGGATGGTATTAGCCTCCTGATGGTTTTGCACTTGTATTATTTGCAGTTAAGGAGGAAAGACTTCCAAAACCCAAATTTCATTGTTTCTCATAGCATTAAAAATCTCACAAAACCTGAAGCATGGAATATATGTTATTTAAGTCTTCTGAAAACGGCCATACTAAGGGGACATCATCAGTGCTGTGGTCAGAAGCCAAAGCCTTGTACAGTCGTAGAAAGTGATGATTCCTGCCCCTAGAAGCTTACAGTCACTGTTCACAGCAAGTGAAGACAGGTGGATGCAAGGACTCATTGCTGACACCTACTTCCTCTAACCCTGCCCGGCTGCAGGAGCAGTCATAACAAACTCCTAATTACAAGAGGTTGTTTTGTCAGAAATCAGAGTAGGGTTGTGTTTCCAAGAGAGCTCTGAACAAGGACGATGCAATAGGGTTGCAGATTTTTGTAGGCAACTTGTGAAAGAAAAGCAGAAATGGAAAAGCTAAAATAATTGCAGTATACTCCCTCTTGGAAATTATCATGGTCGCAGACACTGGAAGGCAGAAGTACATTTCCACTCATGCTTGCCAAAAGAGAAGCTGGGTGGCCTCGTAGCTGAAACACAGGGACTGCAACTCTCACCTGAATTCTAACTCTTGAATTCACCAGGGAAGTCTTGTGTTGCCTTGAACCTGTCTCCCAACTTCCCTGTACCACAGCTCTTCTTTTATAAAGGTGGAGAAAGATGAGTAGTTATTCTCTATACCTTTGACACAACAAAAAGCCTGTGGGATGAGCACCATGGAGTTTTTTTCCCCCTTTGCACAACAATCTCAACTCACTCCTAGGAGTTACCTCTGTTGCAGAGGTGTGCCTTCGGTACGCTGTGGACATAGTCGTGCCCACATTAATGTAGCTGAGCGTCAGTACCGGAGTAGCTACGGCATCAGAGATTGTACAGAAGAATTAGGCATCTACCTATCTGGGTAGTCTCCTTGCAGGAACCTGTAATACCAAGGCTTCTGGTTCTGCTCTATGCTGGAAGAAGGGACAAAGAGGAAACCACTGTGAAGAACTCCAGGGAGCTGCATAAAATTTACATTTTTCAAATCTGTTATCAGCAATTTTTCTGAAAATATGTGTCTCACTGCTAATAAAAGCGGCTCCACTGAACTGCTAAATTTCTTTCTGTAAGAAAGAAGGAGGATTTGCGTGTGTGTCTGTGTTAGCTTATCTCCCTGATCTTGAAGTTGTTTTTCAAGCCAGAATGTCACAATTTAATTGGGGGAGAAGACTTCATCACAACTTGCAAACAAGGTGAAAATGGAATATTTTTAACGATTCTTTTCCAAAAAATAGATGGAACAGGGGAATGCTGACATTGCTTTACTTTTGCCAAAAGCTGCCAACACTCGGAGGGAATAAGCTATTCAGCTGGCGAAAAAGTGCTGAACAAACACTGAAGGAGCTAAAGGGATACTCCCAATCATGATATACTTGCTTTTCACTCTATCTCCTGCCCCAGTCTAATGCCTTCCCCCTCACCTCCTGCCCTCAGAAAAAAAAAAAAAAAAGGGGGGGGGGAAAGGAAAAAAATAGAAAAAGACAAGACAGGTTGGATTAAAACAGTAGCAAGAGGAATTGGTGGATCCTGAGAGTTGGCAGGGGTATTAGTGTTTTGTAACCTGATCTGTCATGTGACCAGAGCCAGGCAATAAAAATAAGTCTCCTACCAGCCCTCCTGTTTGCTCAATTTTATTATATGGTGTCAGTAGAGAACTACTTTTTTTTTGGCAAAAATCTAGCAAATGAAGCCACCTGAATCATTAAATCCTGAAGGAAATCTGGCAGAGAACCGGAGAAGGTTGTTGCTGCACTTCCAAGCTTTCCTGGAAGCAAGCATGTACTGAAGAGAAATGGAGAAGGTGAAACCTTCTCCTCTTAAATGTGGTGGGAGGGGCAGGAAGCAGGAAAACAAAATTATTAGAAGTAAATTAAATTCTTGATCAACCTTAGTGGAGGTTGGCAAAGATCTATTTGAATTAGCTAGAAAAGATTACTTCTCGTTATGGGCTACCACACACACACATTAGCTGCTGCACACCACAGTGAGCAGAAATGTAATAACATACTGTAAATTACAGTTTGCTCACCACAGTGCTCAAGATGAGTTAATAACAGATAATGGCCCACAATCCACAAGTGGATCATTCTGGTAAATTCTCTTTGATCTGTAAGTTCAAATCTACAACGTCAAAGTATAACTATGCACAGGAAAGGCTCAGTGTTACAGCAAAACCCCAGTAACAGCCCCCTCCCCCCCTTTATAAGTCTATCATTAGCACTGCAAAAACAGAGATGCACACCTCACTGACTTACTGGCCTCACCAGGTCTGAGATTAATGGGCAAAGGAAAAGCCTTCGGTAGCCAACATTTAACAGCGGCCAGTTGGGCAGAAAGATTGTTAACCCTGGAATAGCTACCAAAACATCCTCAACCTCTGTGCCAGGAAAGTAAAGAAGAAAAGTTTTAACAAGAGCAAGGAACAGTTATTCTTTTTTTCTTGTGCTAGGTGGATTTCCAGCAAAGCAATTAGCAGGTTACATGGGTACAAGTGAGTATCAGTCCCAAGATTGGGCCTTAACCTTCTTTATAAGTAGTTCTTGTGACAAGAATAAAGGACATGCAAGGGGACAATGATCAGAGAGCTGTCAAACAAGATAGGTATAGACGCACAAAGCGGTGTTATTTGCCTGATCAGCCAGCAATCATGAAAGAGAAAGATTCTGAATACCTTATAGATCCAGATGGAAAACTAAACAAGGCGTTTTAGAAAGATCTTTCTGAGACCAGGATATGCCACAGAAAGCTGCTGAGCCCTGTGACAAGGCCAACTTCCAAAGAGAACCTCTCCACAAGAAACAGGAGGTGTTCTGTCATGTCTTAGCAACCAGTCCATGTACCCTGAGCTCCTTCCTAAACATTTCTGTTCATCTTAGTGAATTTCTTCCATTTTAGTTAATATTATGTTTTATTTACACAAAATTAGTTTCAAAGATGGGTTAAGTGTAACCTTGAGTTCAACAGGCACTGCCTTTCATTGTGTAATAGCAATGTTAACAGTGATTTATATTTTGTTCGGGACACCAGGAAATAGATGTAGATACATTTCTTAAAACTCTAATGTACCACATTACTATTGTAGTGCAAACCAAAGCCTATCTGGAGTGAAACACCAAAAGATTGTTTATTGGAAAAGGGCTTCATGGTTTTGAAGTACTGTCCAGATTTTAGAAAGCTTCTCTGTCAGGGAAGATAAGGGATGTAAGGGATGTATATTTACTGTATTGTTAAGTGTCTCACACATGCTCAAAATGGTTTTGTGACAAGCCCCCATCTCACAAAAAAAAAAAAAAAAAAAAAAAAAAAAAAAAAAGGCCAAAGGAAATGTAGCTCTGATGTGGAATTGGTCATCTGTACAACTGATGGTGTCATGTGTGCTCTCTAGGGAAACGCTGTGGTACAGCTCACCCTGGGGATGATGCAGCAGAGAGAGTGCATCCCTGCAGTGACACGTATGTAATGACTCCATGAATAATGCTGTAGTGCACAACAGACTTCTGGGAACGGTGAAATTAAAGAGGCAATTCAGTTAACTCCCAGGGTACGAGGAAGGGCCTAGGGAGAAGAAGCAACATGTCACCATATGTGTTTACTTTTGAAGGATAGGGCAAACAAAACAGTCTCACAGACCTCCAAAACCAATGCAAAACACTGCAGTAAAACAGTCAGATAAAAAAAGAGATGCAATATGGGCATCCACACTGTGTTTTGAAGGTACATTTGTTCCAGTAACTTTCAGTTGCGAGAAGAGCAGAAGAGAAGTGTAAGAACAGCCTGTTCTGAAGGACTGCACCTGTGAGGTGACACAGCTGAGCTGTCCCCTCCAGTCCCCGCTGCCTCTCCCCTCAGCAGCCTCTCCGGCTCTCGGTCGGCAGCTGCCTGCAGCATGGTGGGGAAGAGACACCATGCTGTACACACAGACTTGCACTAGAGACTCTGCAGCCAAGAGTGCTGTACCGCATGCCAGAATGAGTCTTTAGAAGTGTCTTAGCAATAGCATTGGTTTTGAGTCCAAATAGATGCGACACTCATATCGAAACAAACAAAACTGCATCAGAATGTGCTCATATCCTTACAACTCAGAGGTGTCTACTGTGGTTGAACTCCCAGTTTATCTTCTCCATGGCCAAAATTATAATATCTTGGTAGTTATACCTCATATTACTTGTTACCCTTAAAACTAATGTACTTTATATTTTTAGGGATGTGAAATTAATTTTCAGTGTACACCTTACGTATTTTTTGAGGGTTAGAGGGCTACTCAAATGGCAGGACCTTGGTCTATGTTTGAACCAGGAGTAAGTTTTGCAAGGTGTTCGGACATGTCCCCTCCACTTTGGGGTATGAACTTTCATACAAGGGACTTAAAGACTTTCTGAAAATAAACCATCAAATTCTTCTTCCTTGCAATCCCACTGGCATTAAGACAGCCAGAGTGGTATACAGGAGGTCAGAATTTGGGAGCTGCGAACGTAACTCTGTCTTTGGAGGTGTAAACTATAAGCCACAGATTCACTGGGGTTAAAACTTTCCTATTATCTTTAAATCATTTTTTTGTGATATGAGCTTTCAGCTTGGTTTCAGTGGGTCTTTGTAAGTCATTTGTGAACTCCAGTGGCTCAGGATCAGGACTATACAGTACAATGTACCTTCTGGGTGCTCTTGAAATTATATTTACCAAACCTCACAGCTCATCTCTCCGGCAGGAAGCGGGTATATAGTCATCACTTCATTTGGTATGGCAGATTTCTAAGCAGACACAGAATGTCTGGTTAAGAGCTGTGCAAAGCATCAGGGAGGTAATTAAGTTGGAGCTCAAGAGTAATGAGGTGACAGAGATTGGGTTGAGCATCATTTCTTTCACGTCGATGTGTCCTACTTTCAGAAACACAGAAATGCAGTTGTGACAAATTTCCACCAGACGTTCCCAGTGAGGTTACAGGATATTTTTTTTCTATGTAAGTATTTAAGAGACAGAATGAAGAATATCACACCACATTAAAAAAAAAAAAAAAAAAACACAACAAAACAAGTCAATGGGAATTCTAGGTCAGCAGAACGTCACCAGGGAGGACATCATTGTCCTTGCTATCAGAGAACACCAGGGGATGTGTAATTAGAAAAGAAGCTACAAGGTCTTTGCTATCCTCCATTCGCAGTCTCCTCAAAAGGACAGAAACCCAAGCAGTGTATTTTCTCTTGATACCATGGGATGTTGCTGCCCCAGGAAGAAAAGGGTCACCTACCACCTCACCAGCACTGTTTCCTGCCTCTGCTGAGGCCGCCCAGCAAAGCAAGACCTGGCTGGACTTCTGAGATTTAAGGATCACAACACAAGCCGCAGTGCCTGTAAAACAATAGTTTCTTCACAGCTCAAGTGAGGATGTCTGATACAAGAACCACGTGGCACAACAAAGAGACAATTAAGTTAGCTACTGGATGACTGAGGTGACAGTGGTTGGCTTAGACATTATTGCTCTCACTTCCATAAACCCTAATTTTGGAAAAACAGAGACAGTTTTGACCATTACCACCAGATATTTTCAGTATGACTCCCTTCTTGTAAGAGCTGCCAAATGTACCTGCTTATTCAAGCTTTACTGGTATTTCTTGCTCTCCTCTAAGGCTCCTCCAAATGTCCAGACACTTTCTAGGAATGGGGTGGCGTGGGGAGGCCACTCTGCACAGCCAGCAGCTGCCCTGAGATCGCTGGGTCAGCAGCTGGAGGAAGCAGTTTCCTGTTTTGCTGGTGCTCAATGCCACTTAACAA